CTTAAAAATCTTCCAATACTTTACACCAGAAGAAGTTCAGAAATAAAAGACGTGGTACAACTGTAATGGAGCCAAAAGAGAAAACACATGATGGAATGTTAGCCTTGAGACAACTAATCAGACTTTTACTCAAGACAAAAGTCAAACACAAGAGTGAGAAAGTGCAAGAGAGAAATGCAAACTGCCTGAAAGCAAAAAAGAAAGCTAACCTCACCTTGACAAGGTTTCTGCAAGCAGAAAGGGAGCTCACTCAGGCAACTTTGGAAAAGCAGAACTTAATCTGCAGTGCATATTTGTTCTAAGTTGCTCAAAAGAAAGAGGGCCATTTATGTGGGATACTAACAGCATTTATTCAAAAGTCTCATTTATAAATATCAAACTCATGTTTGAGAGTGGTGAGGCACTGGAAGTGGTAAATGCCCCATCCCTGGCAGTGCTCAAGGCCAGGCTGGACACAGCCTTGGGTGACACAGTCTAGTGTGAGGCATCCCTGCCCACGGCAGGGAGTTGGAACTAAATGATCTTAAGGTTCTTTCCAACCCAAACCATTCTGTGTTTCTGTGAACTGAGCCTTGCTTTAGACTACCACAGGAAGGAAAAAAAAAAAAAGGAGCCTGTATTGTAGATTTCTCTTTAGGGAAACATAATTATTTTGGATTTCAGGAACGGCTCCGCTTGGAGCTGCAGCTAATATCCTAACCCCAATTTCCTTGAGCATTACTCAAGCAGTAGCATTTTTATTTTAAAACCCCTTAGTCTTCTTCCCCCACCAGTATTTCTCTTCTAACACTTTTCTTTCTAATTTTAGGCTTTTGAGAAGTTTCTTTTCCAGATCAACCCACTCTTTTTCACATTTAAATAATTTTCAGTTTTTTCAAGAGCTCAGCTTTAGCAGGTGTTTCAGTAGCTAAGCAATAAGAAATCTCTTGAGAACATCTTCCATGTTTCCCAAATGGATTACCCTGTTTTGGGAGAGCAGTATTAAGCAAAATAACCATGCCAGTGAATTTCAAAACTGAAATAAACCTGCTAAGATGCAGAAGACAAAAAGACACACTCCCTAAAAGAAGCACTTGCCATGCTCCCTGTTAACAAATAAGGAAGGTGCAAGAAGCAGCAGTGGCTGCAGTCGCAATACCAGTAATTAACTTGAATGCAGTAAAATTCAACAGAATAAATTTAGAAGCTTAACATGGAACAAAACGATGCAACTCCTCCTTTTCTGAATTATTCAGCTTCACTGCAGCCCCAGGACCATGAATGCTAAATGGTTTGCAACCATGAACCAAGTTAAGTACATTTCAGTGGCTAACAGTGGAAAAACCCCACATGCTGTCAAAGCAGAGGTGACTTTACTGGTAACTTGGACCCACAGCCCCCACTGCTAAAACATGTTTATTATGAACAGATCTGGAAGCTGAAGTGAAACAAGGGCAAGATACCTGTACACTATTTTCAAGTACCACCCACCTCTGGCCCTTCATGTCACCTCCAGCTACTTGAGAGCTGCGTTTTTTCACTTGTGGCTCCTGGAAGGTAAATGCTGCAGTACATTTCAGCAATTTCTTCTTCTTACAGTGTCAAGTAGTATGAGAAAGCCCACTGACAATAATGCCTCTGTGCCTTCATGCAGCTAGAGCAGACCTAGATCTTAAATGTTCATCTACAGTCACGAGGTTATCTTCCACATTTCCCTAGACTGCAGGAACATCCTCCTCCTCCAGTGCAAAAAAGGCCTAATAAAAACTTGAATCTAGCTTGCTCTGCCTCTACAGAGGTAACACTTGCAGTAAAAATATAAGTTAGAGTAGAATACAACAGCAGACATATCTTATTCTTCAATATGGCGTATCATCCCCCATTTCTACTCCTTTTGCCTCTTTAATTCTTCTAACCACAGAGACTGAAAAAAACTAATCCTATTTTAAAGCTGTACTTAATGCTCAAAATGCATTTTCTTACCCAGTGCAAAGTTTTCAGGGGAGCATTTCTTCAGCACATGTTATGACCTGGGATTGCTCTAACCTCAATTTTCCAGATGCATTTCAGTACGTTCCTGAACTAACCTGGCTTGCTAGCTTGCAAGAATTTTTAATAATATCCTTTTTCTTTGAGGTTTCAAGCCTGTGTTCTCTGTCTTCCAAGTGTGCTTCCTTGTCTTCCTTCTGTTTAGGGCTCTCTAGAAGAGTATCAACTATTCTCAGCTTCATTCTCAGCTGTGCCAGCTCGACTGCTGAGAACAGCCAGGTGTATTTGGGAAATACTGGAACCTAGGAAAAAGAGAATTCAGATAGTTCCACAAAAAAACTCTTCAAAACAGGTAAATCCATTCCCTTCTTGCCTTCACTCTCTTTTTCCCTGTGGCTGAGGGTGTGAAAGGGCACTGGTCAATGAGCTGGGGTACATCCTCAAGTACAAGTTTTACCCCATTAAGTATAGCAGAGCTGGCTCCCATGGCTGGGCTTATCCTTAGGCTAAGCATGGAAATATATCAAAGCAGCTGGATTCAGATTAACACCTCTTCCCTACCTTCAGCACAGGTTTAAAACAGTGCAGGTGCTTATGATCATGGTCAAGGAATTTAAAGCTTCAGATTTCTCCTCATCACTGTATCTCCCTTTTTTCGAAAGTGCCTTTGTCTAAACACGGACCAAATAAAGTCTGAATTGAAAAAGAGGACAGGAAATTAGATCAAACCAAGTATGTAGCATTCTCATTATCCCTCATGTCAGACAAGTCAGAAGCAGTTACATAATTGGGCCTCCAGACTCTAGGCAGTGAAGTGTTAAGAGGGAAAAGCAATCCCAGGACTGCATGCTGGGTTTTGACAAATAGAAGAACACAGAAGTAGGCCAAGAGCTTGCCATCAATGTTGGTTTTTAATTGTACCACATCAAAAAAAAAGGTTCATGTTATGGCACATGTGGTCTAAGAGGTAAGAAACCGTGTAGTGCAAGAAATGGAGAAGTGAGGGAGGGAATCTGATCTGTGCTTGCATACACACTTGAGTGTGAATCAGAGAAAGTGCACTTGTGAGTAAGAATGCATGTCTATGAGGAGTACAGTGCCTAGAAACACAAGGGGAAGCAGTGGTCCATAAGCAATTGCTATGAAAAGGAATGGGGGTGGGGAATTGTGCACAGCCCTTTTTTAGCTTCTGCTGCAGAAAAAATAAATAGACCTTTTAATCTGTGCTCTCCTCGGCTCCTTCTCTATTGACCATTCATTTCTTCTTTCCCTTCCCAGCTCTTTACCTCCTCTATATGGCTGATGAATATGCAAATGTACAATCAGTTCTGTAATAGCTTATCCTTTCTAAAAACAGGCTATAAATTTGGATCCTAAGCAGCAGGTTCTAAAAAGACCATTATATTATATGGCTGGGGGGAAGAGGCAAGACCCAAATACCACCACTAGCACATCAGAGTTCAGCGTGAATGCGGCTAGAAGGCGGGCCCTTCATCTAGCAGAGCTAGCAGCCAGAAGGGAAAGCTCTGCTGTACAACTACACATGAACCTCCTCCTCCAGGCTCCTGCAGGGCCAAAGCCCACGTGCTAGCCCTAGGCAGGGCTCCCTGCAGGCTCTGGCAAGAGCACGAATGTGACACAGAGCCCGAGATCCCGCAGGTTTTGGATCTGATTGATGCCAGCTACAGGAGCTGTGGGAGCTCTCGGGAGAGCCCCGGTACCCAGCGCAGCAGCCAGGGCCCGGCAGCAGCAGAGGGGCACACAGGCAGTGGAGGCTGCCCTGTGCCCACACACACACACACACACACACACACACACACACACACACACTGCCACCGGTGTCTGCAGGGAGGTACAGACATGTCCAGAGACATAAATGCTGCTGGGGGCACATGTGCACCCCCAGGAAGGGGTGGCAGCAAACACAGATTCTCAGAGCTCCAGTTGGCTCAGACATGGTTAACACGAGAGCAAAGCTCTGACCCCTGCCCCTACTGTGCCACAGGAGGCAGCTGTGCCACAAGCTGCATGGCAGTTCAAGGATGCGTACACTGCAGCTCAGATGCTTCCCAGCTTCCCAAGGAGCTGCCTCCTTTCTTCAGTAAAATAAGCACACTTTGGTACAATACTTGCATACACTTCCATGTCTGCCATTTTGAGGCCCTTCTCAGGTTTTCGCTGGGCTTTACGGTATTCCTGGGTGTTGTCACTGCAGGGTAGAAGGCAAGAACTATTAGTCCAAATTTAATGAGATGGTATTGTTCTACTATACAGGGACTGAAAGCTCAAGGTGCTGTCCCCAAGTTCATCACTTCATCACTCCAGCTTGTGAGCTGCAGTGCTGGAGCCCCACAGGAAGGAATCAGGCTCAGTGAGCTTTACAGTTCCCCATGGAAAACTGCTCAGGAACAGATATGTCTTCAAGCTCCAGAGTAAACTGACAAGATGCCAACTGGAAACTGAGTGCCCCTGCTCAAACTCTGGGCAAGACAGTAGCAGAAACATGGGCTGCAACAATTTCAGTACCCAAGGCAGCCAGGACATCCTGCATTATGCACAGGTTGCCCTATGAACTAGGACAGGGGGGAGCATGCATTGCCCAGGTGGGGCACAGAGATGGGAAGGTGGGAGTCATGTACTCAGCACCTCAAAAATTGGGCTAAAGCGGCAGAAACCTGGATCTGGCTCTAATGCCAGCTGCTGCACCCTGAACATGTCACAGCTCTTATGTATTATAATTTATAGGCAGTGAATAATATTTGCATAATTCAGAGGGGTAATACATAAGAACACGCTATAATCACAGAAACACCTATATTCACAAAATAATTTTAAAACACATTATTGCAGGGGCTGATTTTAAAACCAAATCCTTGTCATCTTAAAACCCACTCCAGATTGGGCAGCCTTTGAACACGAACATCACTGAACACGTTCCTTCTCCCCTTTCCCATCACCTTCAACACAGATGTACCTTACAAAGCAATACAAATTCTGCAGCATCTCACCAAATCAGGGATGACAGGAGGAAGGAATGTTATAACATGATTTATTAAAATCAGTTTATAAAACCCTAGGGCCAGTTCACAGAGAAGAATGGAAGTCTCATCCGACATTCTGAAGATGGGAACAGGGCTCACCAGAAAAGGTCCAAAGCCTTGAGCTGATCTTTGTTGGGGGTGACCAAGTCTGTTTGGCCGTCAGACGTGGCAATTAGGATCCTCTCTGGTGCCTTGTTTTCCTTTTTAACCTTCAACATTCTTCTCAGCCTATTACCACTACAGTACCCTGTGTGCCTACCACCATGGCATTTTTGCCTGCATCACTGGAAGCACAGGATTCTCACCCCAGACTCTGATAACACTTTCACAAATATTTGTTTCACCTCAACTTCAAAAAAAAAACACAACAAAAACCAAAAAACCCCAAACCACCAAAATACAATGAGAGGAACTATTTTGATCACAAAGTAAAACAAATCAGCAAACCAAAGCTAGAATCCCATAAAACAAAGACAAAAGATGGGGGAGGGGGAAATAGGTGGTTATACTCAAAGGCGATTTCCCTTAAGTGGCAAAAATCTTTGGATGCAGAAACACTGACAAAGCACTGCAAATAAAGTAGCATCCTCCCCTCCCTGACCCCAGGAATAAACCCAACCCCAGCACCCCAAAACTTGTTATGATCAGCAGATGTCAGGCACAGGACCTGGAGGTAATTACCAGAAGGGATGCTGGCAGACACCAGGGTCCATTCACAGGACATGCATTTACCACTTCTTCCCGAATTTCAGAAGTCTGTCTTCTAGAGCAGTCTCTTGTATACAATTGCATGTCCAGCTGCACACCCTAGAGGTTATGGATCCAAGAGGAACAGCAATATTCTCTGCAGGATACTTTCAACTAATTCAATCCTTATTAAACTCTTCACATAAAGCACTATTTAAATTAAAAACATTACAAGAGAGGGATGTGACTGGCACAGACATGACACAATGGTTACAATTTAGAAAACTTACATGTTATCAAATGAGACTCCAAGACAAACTCAAATCTTCACATGAGCGCAGAGGAAGACTTTATAAAAATGGAAATGTATGGATGCTTTTTTCCTGCAACAGGAATAACTGATTACTGTTTAGAGGTGATATTCTGTAACTATAGGAGGTAAGTTTGGAAATAATTGACTATTACCAACTCTAACATGAAATGCTGTCCAGATGCATCCATAATAGAGCTGCACCCGTGCTACTTGTATAAAGAGCAGTGACATTTTTCTCCTTTCTCACTACTCATGTTTGAACTGCTAGAACTCTCCTAGCAGAACACTTGGCATTTTTCTATTCCCAAGTTGAAAACAGTAGCAGAAGTTACTCTTGTAGATGGCTGTTAAGGCCTCAGTGCATTAGTATTCTGAGACTTCCACCTGATCTTTCCTCTCATCCAACAGTATCAAAGCCAGAACAAAAACCCGTAACATTTCTGGTATTACTGTCCCTTCCCCAGCAATATGCAACAGAATCATGTCATATATGTTAGACTTGAAAAGCAAAGCCCCAATTCAAGTTAGAAAAATGTAATCATTCACACTGCTCCCTCTTGGCAGGATAGCTTCTTCTTGATCTCATTGCCCAGATTTGTGGTACGGACTGAGTTGATCAGACTGATTTTCAGTTGTTCCTTTTAAAGTTCTACCCTCCACCCACAGGTCCTTGGCTTCTCACTGGTTATTGCACCCCGGGGCTGCAGAAGAGGTGCCTGCCTGCTTCTGTTTCTTACGGCGTTTGTTCAAGAGGCGGTTGTTGGATGTTTTCAAGTCTTTGATTTTCACCTGATCATAGTCCACTCTCATGGTAGCCAAAGCACTGGTCATCTCCTCCTGTAAACCAAGGAAGCAATGTATTGAAATCCCTGAGGCACTGAGCATTCAGCCACTTCCCCCCCTCCACTACTGCACTACTGCCAGGAGATGAATGTACAAAAAGGAACCCTCTGTTACACGACGGCCAGAAATAGCTGAGCCCTTCCTGCTGCGGTGGACTGTGACTAAAGGCTTCGTTCTACTCATGGACTCATTCAGGAGGAACTATTCACACAGTGTTTCATACATGAGCACGCAGGACCACAGTCCACTGGCCTAAATTCCACCATGTCTCTATGCACAGCATTTCCTACTGCCTGGCTCTGGGCCTCCATCAGCCTCTGAGCCGGAACTGCCTGTACCAGACTCGGAACGCTGCCTGCCTTGCTCTCTCACCAAACCAGGGTAGCAGGAGCTGGAATAAAGAGCCCACATCAAGTTGCTTAAAATTATGTGCTTCAAATTCACATGCTTCCTTAGTTTGAATTAATGTTTAATTGCAGGCAAATTTAAAACTTTTAGATTAGGTTGTGAACAAGAAGATGTCAATGAACATCTAGGCATTTAGTTCAGGAAAGGGAAAATGATTAAATATTATGGGAATGTCGGTGGCCCAACGGAATACCTCTGGGACCTAGACAAAGCACAAGAATGGAAATGAAGAAGGCTGAGTCAAAAGATCTGTTTGATCTCTGACTTAGGCAGCAAAAGTTGCCTAGGTCTCTGAAATTTTACTATTACACAGCTCAACACCTGAGCCTGTTGAGCTATGGAAGGGTACATCCGTGCCGTCAGTAATCGTATTTAAATCCATTTAAATACATCAGTAATTTGAATAAAATCAGTAATCAGTAAAATACACCTCAGGAATGTTGCAATTATCAACATGCCAAGCACTGTAAGTGGAGAAAATTCGGAACTAATTGTAAAAGCATGCCAACCTGATAAAGGCCAGCAGGAAAGAGTTAAGGCTTGCAAACAACTTTTAGTCTGCTCTATAGTTTCACTTTGCAAGGAAGCATTCAGCTGTCATCACTACAAACTGTAGGTGAGGCACCTGGTTAGACTAAGGGAAAGATAGATACGTTGTTTTTCTCCCCTCCCACGTCATCACAAGGCTAAGGCTATTTAATGCTGGTTTACAACACAGGAACAGAGCAGAAAACCAGAATGTAGCTCAACCGTCCCGCCCTGTCCCCCGTATTTCCATCATATTCTTCACTTCACTTTAACAAACTTGAAATTCCCTCAACACTGTCCCTTCTCCTCTGTAACCACATACAGGGGCTCAGCAGGTAGCATCAGTAACACCTGTGACATTTGGCACAGCTGCAACCATGTCAGATGAAGCTCAAATAGCATTCTGGTTTTTAACAGTTGCATACACTACTGTTCTAACCAAGACTGTTTATGCTTCCCTTGTTAAACATGGCTGTATTCAAACTAGCCATGATCTCCAAGGATCAAGGAGAAGCCAGCCTATCTAATCTCCTACCAGACTTGACTTCAAGAAATCTGAACTACAGATTGACTCACTTTAACTTCATCCCAGTGGTCTTTATCCTCTTGCAGGACCCGTGCAGTATGAAGAGGGGTTGGTGGCACTGCCATTGATCTCTGAGAAAAGGGAAAACACAAAACAAGTGGTGTGCAAAATCACATTTGGGAAGTAACTGCTCATGCCTATGTGTATGGAGGACATAAGCCTCTACCGAATGTCCTTCAGTGGCCCTCATTATTCATGCTTTTAAGCACTCTATAAGCAAAGTCATGTGTGAGGTAGAAAAGGACTGTAGTCACCACATAACAGTATCTTTAAAGAGCAACCAGTGCCAAGTTTCTTTGACTCTTCTCCCCTCCAATTCAGCCAAGTGTTGGATAAATTTTTATGTTCATTTTAGATTTTACCTGGCATTTCACTATTCATTAGCCAATGTTTTAAAGCGGTTAACTGACCTTTATCTTCTAGGATTTGTGTTAGGACCTATTTTCTTGTACATATACATTAACTAAGATTGCCAGTTTATCAGATCATAAATGTGCCCAAAAGCGGAAATTATACCATTATTCAGAGTAAGGCACCGTTCAGAAGACAATGAATCACCTGAGATGCTCTTCCACATAAAACCAAGATCTATGCTCAACTGCCATGGAAGATCAGCAGATACTTTAAATTAGAATATAGTACAATTTCTAAAACACGAAGGACAGTTCCCTAGCTAAATTCAGCAAGAATCATGGCATTTTCTTACCAGCCTTGTAATTTCATTTGGATATTCTATCTTCCTTATGCTTTCTACCCAAACTTGCTGTCTACTGGCATCCTACGCCAGACATAGCTACATATCAACAAAGTCTAAGGAGATTCCTGTACACATCATTGTAAAATAAGCATTACACTGGAGGCAGTGCTTAGACACCACCGAGCTAACAGCAGCACTGCAGTAGTTACAGAAGAAGAAATCATGAATCCTGCATGCTCTGGAAAGGCTCCTAGCTGTCCAGATATAGTTCCATCAAGTCCAGCTGGGATGAGAGAAATGGAAAACCAGCTGACAGGCTTTAGTAGTGTCCCTGAGGAGGTGTTGCAGGTGCCCTCCTATCTGGTGTGAGCTGCTACTTGATAAAATAATCTTGCCTACAAGATAACAGCCATTTTTCACAGTCCACAATAATACTTCTGTATCCATTTAATGACAAAAATAAAAATAAAAAAGAGGAAAGACAAACATCCTCCTTCCCTGCTTGTGCAAGGCATCACTCCCAACATGTTCCCACTTTAGGATTTAGGAAAAAGAAGAACACAGGCATTCACTGTGTTGGTCTTTCCCCCTCCCTCCCTCTGCCTCAGGGGAACAATAGGTTCAGCAATAAAAAATGCCAACCTGCAGCTCCTAGAGCATTCTTCCAGGAACAGTATTCTAGCCCAGCTCTTTGGTGCAGCAGAATCTATAGACCTTGTCTCTAATCTCCTCCTTATTAATTGGTTATATGCATATTTCAAGTAACATGTGTCACTGTAGGTGGTAGCTTCCTTAGCTATTAGGCACTCATTCTGTGAAATTCATCGCCTGCTGACTTCTGAAACACCTCCTTCTTGGGTCTTCAAACACTTAAAGCTGGAGGTATTTATTCTGAACAGTGATTACAATTTTATTTGGTTAGAAAGGACAGAAACATTGTCTAGGTTCTGTTCTACTTCTAGGGAGTTTTTGTAGCCTCAGTTTCTCAGCTTTTCCAATTCTAAATCTCCTTCATTGGGATCTTACACAGCTACATTTCTGTATCATTCTAAGGGCTTTCAGATCTTCCAAGAGACACTATAGAAATGCTGCCTCTTTCTGCACCTACCTCTGAGGGTCAGCAAAGACAGCGAAAGCATTATGGGAGGAACAGCAGTACATGTGCTCCTGCTCCTGGCTGATGATTTTTGGGCAGTGAGAACAAGAGCGGTGTCCTTTCAGGCACAAATGTGAGAAGGACAAGCTATTATTTTGAGTGACACCTGCAGAGCAGAGACGATACCCTGAAACTGAGCCTGGTAACTCCTGGGACTCCTGTCTCTTGTTTGAAATTATTAATACTGTATTATTAGAGTTGTTTGTTTGGGGGGGTTTTAAACCCAAAAATATTTTTTAAGGAAAAGTAAATTCAACCAAGCCAGGGAATGAAACCTGAGCTGGGACCATTAATAGCTCTGTGTACCACCCTACCTGGCAATCTCTCCCAGGGCACTAAGCCGAGACCCTGACTCCTCCCTCCAGCACTTCCAAACGCTGCCAAGGATGAGAATCCCCACTAAGCACGGGACGGTGTTCACGCTAACACAGCCATGCACAATGGTGCCTGAGACCACTAATAATATCTCTCTTCAAATCCTGCACTGATGAAGTAAGTACATAGAGTTTGTATTTCTGAAGAGAGTAACACATGTATATGCTGCAGAGTCAAACAGCGACTGCCTGCTCACAGGAGATACACATACATTCGACTTTTGCTTCCAAGAATGCTCTTGTGGGAGTCTCTCTGTATGACCTCTAGTAACACCAAGAATTGTGGGTCTTCAGGCAGATGGCCCTCTGTGGAGGGCACAGTAAGTTAATTGAGCTATTAGCAGTACATGTAGCTCCACATAGCACAGTAAGTTCTGCAAGTAAGAATTCATCTCAGGAAAAGAGATATGAAACTCACATTAATCCAAGGGTGATTCATAAACTGAGAAACTGTCATCCTCTCCGTCGGGTCAGTCTTCAGTAAATGGCGAATCAGTTGTTTGGCTGAAAAACAAGACCAACAAAGGCATGTTGTAGCCTCCTGCTGTGTTCCCAAATAACCTTGAGAATGCAAAGACCTGCTAAATGAAGAAAGATAACGTTGCAGAACTCAAAACACCTACCTACGGCTATTAGCATGTTAAGAAACCATGTACAGTGTGGTAGGCTACTATGCTTAAAGAGTCAGAGCAAGAAAGCATCCAAAACAAGAGGTACGAAGGAAAGACAAAAGGAGTGGGGATTCCAGCTATGCTATCTACATCACCAAATCAACTGTGGAGAGCAAGAACTTGAGAAAAAGAGAAACACAGGAATAGAAAGCTGCCACGCTGCCTGTCTGAAAGATGCTAACAAGCTTGGCATTATGGGCTGAATGAATGCATAAGCTGATGTTTTGAGAAATGACACAGAACAAAAGCTAGCACAGGCTGTGGAAAAGGACAATATACTTTTGACAACCCAGAGGGCACTAAAAGGACAACAAAGAAGAAACAGATTGCACAAACAAGCTTTGCTTAGATTTTATTTAGACTTACACATAACTTCCTTGGGATAACCTAAAAAACCTTCTGAATAAGAGTTCTCTTTCAGAAACATCAAATGCAGCATGACTAAATGCTTGTAAGGAGCTGCCAGAGGTACAAGTTTGTCAAGTGAGGCTGCAAGAGTTTTGCAGTAGAGATTACCTAGAATCTAAAATGTACAAAGAAAGAAAAGGAGGGGACCACAGAAAGAACCCATTAAAATGATTACAGAAGCTAGAGAGGAATTCAGAGGAAGTCTCCATAGTTGATGGAATGATTAAAGAATAGCATGACAAGAAAAGTACAGAAGAGGGAAAAGAAGCAGTCTGCTGAAGGTGCCCGATCATCCTAAAAGACACATAAACTAGCTGACTGAATAGGTTTAAAGGTAGAGGGCACCTATCTTCATTCAGCAAGCACACAGAAACCCTCCAAATTTTCCAAGTGCATGTTCTCTCACTGAGCTCCCCTAGAATTTTAGTAACTGCTGTAATAAGAACAAGAGCCAAGCCAGTCAAAATACTAAGCCAGAAACCTCCAAGTAAAACATCTTCCTTACTAAGGCTCAGTAGCCTGTGCTGTACATGCAGCCATGACATCCAATGAGGGGTTAAAATGCCACAGATCAGTAATCTGTTATTGCTAAACAGCAGACAATAACAGGATGCAAGCAACAGCAATGTAAAGGGCTTGTTAGAAAGACATGCTCAGAGGTTGCTGACCCTCCTCTCTAATAGGAAAGGCACGTGAGACTTCCAGCTTACCAGGATGTCAGAATAACAGGGTATCAAAAACATCCACTTCCAGGACATTGGTTTGAGCCCATCCAAGTCACAGCTGAACAGCAGCAGATTTTGGTCAACAATTTATACAAAATAAACTGTTGACCTTCATTTAAGTGGTGGCTGGCAGGTTCCCACATCACAAAAAACTAGCAGGAAAACTTGCCATCCTTGCGGGCTGCATCACCAAGGAGGGCAAAGACTGAATAATTTCTTAATACAGTTTGCCTTTCTTCCAGCTCAGCTTGCATTGCAGCTGTCCTGACAGCCTCCTTTCTCAGGATTAAAGACTTCTGTTTCCAGAGGGTTTAATCTCAGCATTCACTAGCACTAGCTGCAATCTGGAAGTTTGCAGTAGTCATTTACTTTCTGTAGCACTGTTTGCTGCCAGGATCTGAGTTCCAGTCATTCTCTGTATCACCTTACAAGAAATAATTTAAGTTCTAAACCAAAAGGAAACATAACCAAAGACATGCTTTTAGAAGCACACCACCACACACATGCTCATCATTACCTTCCTCTGATACCTCAGCCCACTCTGGATTGGGAAATCCATATTGCCCCATCCGAATTCTTCTCTTCATGCCTGGAGAAATGGCTTGACCAGTGTTTGAGTAGAATGGAGGGAACCCACACAGGCTGGAAGAGTGGACAAGAGAACTCTTAGAACTCGGAAAGTCCTTTCAGCTCTTACAAAGTCCCATACAAGCTCATACTCTTCTGCAGGTTGCATGATCCTAGCGACTAATTGCTGGCAAGTGAAGATTTGACAAGATGTGTCCTTGTGTTCATTGAGCCTCTTTCCAAATACTTACAGAATATATGTGATGACACCCAACGACCACATGTCACATGATTTGTCATACTTCTCAGGACCAAGGACTTCTGGGGCTGAAGAAGATTAAAACCAGAAATTAACAGAGCACCAGATGTTGCCTGTCATCTTCATCACCTTATAAGTAGCAACACACTTCAACAACAAGCATCAGATGCATTAGAAAACTGCAACTCACTGCAGGAACTGGGTGGTACTTTCTATTGACAAGTTCCTAAACACATCTGATACAGCTTTAAACCAGGAGGAATGGAGTTGGCAAAATGCCCTACTCTTCACCTTAGTGTCTCTCTGCTCAAGAGAGTACTAAGATTACAGAAAAGCAGAAGGAGCTATAGCTAAATGTGTACAGGGAGACACTGCACTGAGAGAGGCAGGAGCATATGTTCCAGAAATCAGAACAGAAAAGACCTATTTGAGCTGTGATAAACTTTTGAATGATACCTAGCTGGAGTGTGCTTAGCTCCAGCAGCTACAGAGCACTCTATTTTACTTTGGCCTCCAGAGTATTATATTTTTCACTAAGTAACGAAAAAATAGAGATACCCATTTAGAGGGGATGCTTCTGCTTTCCCCTGAGGCAGGTGAACTGGCACGGAGCTTGATTTTGTGAGGAAAATGATTCTCTAGACATACGAGCAATCATGCTGGTTTATAAAAAGGTGTTGAGAAGGGAAATGTCAGCTTGTTTATAAACAAATCTAAAGGCATAAAACCCTGGATCTGTGAATTCCTTCACATTTTATCACTAATCCCATCTTGCAAAAATACAGAAGAAACCATCAGGAAAAAAAATCCTGCTATTGTAATTAGCTGCTAACAATGAATAACAATATTTTTCAATACAAAAAAAACCTATAAAACTTACATTGTAGAGTAGAAATAATTCTTCCAAAAATAATAATTAAAAAAAAAGCCTTTTTTTCTCCAACAAAATTCCAAATGTGGACAGCCTCAGTCATACCATATGGAAAATGACTATCCACTCAAAGACCAAAAGCAATGTACTCTAAAATGAGGGCAGAAAGGACAGCCTACTATGGCTTTCATCACACACTGCCCTGTCTTGGGACAAAATACAGGCAAAAATTTAGCTGTGATGAAGTCACCTTTGTCTTTTATTAGTAACTCCTACATTTGCCAGCTTTTAGAAGCTTTATTAGCTGAGGCAGTGCTCTCCCAGTTCTCTCCTATTGCACTAGTTAGGCTAAGGGAAGTTTCGCCAGGAAACACTCAAACAACCATGAAGCAGAGTTCAATTGTGGCTTTTATCACATCACTCAGAAAGAACATCAGGATTACTCAAAGTGTAATCAGAGGCAACATGTTCTCTCTCCTTGATCCTCATCTGTGTCCCCTGTTAAGGCTGTTTTCTCTGCAACCAAGGAAGAAAGCAGGAGCGCTGACCTGTACTGGAACCAGACTAGGCTTGGGTTGGACCCCAGTTCAAATTCTGCAGGCTACCTCTTTACATTGCATCCACAATAGAAGGTTTCCCATCCATTCCTACAGTCCACAGGGTCCACTACAAGGGGGTGGATGACAGAACGAAAGGCAAAACCAATGCATTTTGGATAACTTACCCACATAATAAGGAGTGTAACAGGGGGTCTGCAGTGCATTTACAGATGTTTCTTTGGCAAAGCCGAAGTCTGTGAGTTTGAGAACAGTATCCTTCTCTTTAGATGTGTAAAGCAAGTTTTCAGGCTGAAAGACCATCAAAAGAAATGATAAAATGGACAATGAAGAGATACCTCTAATGAGCTCAGAGATCAAACCATTCTTGCTTGCCTGGATCTGTGTCTTGTTACTTCTCCCACACACCCCCCACCATACCATGCAGAAAGTACCCTCCCAACACATAGCATTTCTGCTGTGACTAAGGATCAACATCGTCCTTGACATGATATTTAGGAGAGCAAATCACAAGACTCTCATCAGGTCCAATGGATTCTTGAACCCCTCTCTAATTTACATGCTGTTCTAGGATTGTTCTGTCTGATCAACACACCAGTTGATCTGACAACACTCTGCACCACACTCAAGTAGCTAGTGTGGAAGATAAGAGAAGTCATCATCCAAACTCTCTATGAACAACTAACACAACTCCATCAGAATTAACTGATACAGACACAGCCTCCTTCCTGCCCCCCACCTCCCACCTCTGCCACGTGAAACCAGGGTTAACTCCATTCTAGCTTCATGCTCCATAAAGGCTCTCCAAAACCAGAAGTGGCACAGAGGGAAGTATACAAGTGCTTGTGCACAAGAGCAGGGACAACAGCACATCTCCAGAACCTGCAATTGTTTGAACCTGTTTTCCAGTTTCTCAGTTTTAAGGAAGCTACAGCCTCTCTCATGTTAGTGTTTAGGGACATACAGAAGGAAGGACTTGAAAGAAAACAGGATTTAGGACTGGAACCATTTCTATGGGAGTGCACTGACTGTGGTTAAGGGGTGTTTGGGGCTAAGTGCTTTGGTTTCCATGGTGGGATAGGCAATGGCACACAGCTCCACAAAAGTGAGCAGATTTTTAGTCTAAACGGTTCAGTCATTCTCCAGTTCCTACCTAAAGAACCCTCAAACATCCCACTCAGTGACACCGAGCGATGACAGCTCTCCCTCCAGCTAAACGCACAGAAGCATCTGTAGAGAATTCAGAAACTCAGAGCTGCAGAATCAATCAGGTGCCTCAGTCTACCATTATGTAACCTGCTCTCCACCCCACTGCCTCAACAGTGCACTGAAACCCCCTCGGTGCAGCTCTCTTGCCTTTGCTCTTCACAGAATGAAACGAAACACGACACTACAAACCCTGTCAAATCTCCACGACAAGATCTGTGTACATTTGGTAGGAACTGGGAAACTCCCCATTTCCCCAAACATTTACATATACAATTAAAGTGGTTTGGATGCATGGAATTGGTATTATTCCTCCCACACATGCATGTTCTCCTGTTTCTGAAGGAAAAGGGGAATTTTTGTTTGTTTTGTGGGTTTGGGGGGTATGGATTGTTTTTTACACAAACCAGCTAAAACCTGGTAAAGGCTGTGCATCGAGGTATAGCATCCAGTATAAGTTTACTTCTGGCAATGTTATTTTCTTGTTAATTAACTGGATCACAGGCTTTTTAATTAATCACCTATTACAAAATTCCTCTGCATCCTGTACACAACTGGAAGGCATTAACATACAACTATTCTGACCTTTACCTAGCTGCACACTAGGGGTGAAGAGATCCCTTCTCATGCTGGCACAGGAAGGGGAACACCTGGATCACCTGATTGTACTCCTAGGTATATTTAAACCACCAATGCCCACTTATTTTTCTACCTTATGCTTTTTTCTCCCTGTCCACACACCTTCAGGCCTCACCTTGACATCTCTATGGGCAATGTTCATTGAATGCAGATACTGGATGGCTGTCCCGATGTCTCTCATTATTTCAGAGGCCTCTATAAATACAATTTTAGAGAAAGGTCACATTAACATTCCCACCGTAACTCAGGGACATGCCTAGGAATGCCTACGACTTACAAACAGCTTGCTGGAATACAGGGCTAGCGTCGAGACTAGAAAACCTAAAATTAGCCCTAACAGCTGTGTTTTGGTTTTGCAGGCAACCATTCCCCCTAATTCCTGGGCTGCTCCTCCTGAGAAGGCACCGAACGGAACCGTTGAGATCCTGCTTTTGATGAGCTTGTAAAGCTGGGCTTTCCTTTGCTCGCCAGAAAAGCAGCAAGAGCAGAGCAGGTATGCAAGCAACATGCAAGACTGAGGAGAAAGAAGCCCCCACCAGGACATGTCCTCCACTGCCCAAGACAGAAGTTTCACTCTCAGCTTCTAGTGCAGGAGTAATAGGCAAGAGGAGGATCTAACAGATCTTCTAAAAGTAGAGCAACAGAACAACCCAGCAATTTTAGGATCAGTCACATCTTTATTCCTCACTGCCTTTAGAAGTTTTTTTCCTCAGGAAAAACAAAATCATCAGTTCAATTCTGCAAAGCCCAAACTGCCACCTTGAAATACTGTTTTGAAAATTCAGTGTAACCCCAGTGGGGAAATTGTAGTGTTTGGTGAGCTGCCTTGCAGCAGCAGCACTCTCAAAGCCTGGAAGAGTTCAGTTACATAGGGAAAGGTTTCAGAGCAGGGAGGAGTGACATTCCCATTGTATTAAGTGAGCATTATATTACATCTCTGCTGACAGGGAAACGATTAGCAACTTAACCGGATCCTCTGTTTTCTGCATAGGCAGAAACCTCAGCTGCAGCAGTGAGAGAGAGTTAGAAATTCTCATACTGCAACCTGGAACCTTTTTTTACATGCTTGAGACTGAAACTGCACCATCTCGGGCAAGGACAATCAGAAGGCACAAACACTCATCTTCTTCAGGGAAAAACCTCCTTCCTGGCCCAGGTCACAATCCCTAGCTCCTAATGGGAAGTTGTGGCTGATACATATACAGCCAGTGAACCTGGGGAATCCAGTGGAACTGGGCTCATTTATCTCAGGAAAGAATGGAGGCGGTTTTGCTGTTTAAGACTCCCAGCTGATTTCTGAGTAAGTATTTAGAATGCTATACAACGCTATCTAATGTAGAAAAATCATGTTTTTAGCAGAGTGGAGTCACTAATGATCACAGAACCAGTTTCCCTCCTGGAATTCGGCATTTTGGAGAGGAACAAGTAAAATTCCTGAAAATGCTCATTTTCCCTGCACAAGTCTCTAATACCACTTAAAGGCTGCAAAACACAGGCTAAAAAAAAAATTAATAATCCCTGGCATCTACACCAGACTTGCAAAACAGCCACAGTAATTTACAAGTTCAGGTGTAAATTTGTCTTCATTTTATCAGGATGCTAGTTACAAACGTTAACAATTTTACTCCTGAGCAGGAACAAGCTTTTATCGGTTGTGACTGGCTGAGGAGAACCACTGTCAAGTACCTCTGTGGTACTCTGCAAATAATAATATAGCTAAGAGAATAAAAATGGCAAGACTAGTCTATGGCAAGCTCTGTCACTGACTCATAGGAGGTCTTTCAATTCGCACGTAGTCCCTGTATAGATAAGCAGACTTGTTTACGGTGTGGCTAATAACACTTCCTTTCAAGTAGTACTTAAAACCCTTGACTAAGAGATGTTTCATCGAAAGTGATTTGCTCATTATGTTCATCACCTCACAGTATAGCTGTGCACAGTGATGTTGCTTGAGGGGCAGCCAGAAGAGAAATCACAGCAGGAGCTGTGCTGATCATGTTAGAGGTGGTCTGGCAGGAGACCAGGGACTCGAGCAACAGAGGCTGCGGTGGTTCAGAAATGAAGAAGCTGAGCAGATCTGTATGAAGAGTTTTCCTCTAAACCTTCCACACTGTGCCTGAACTTGGTCATTTCTGGTAATTCCTGATCTTCATGAATTTTGAAAAAAAACTGCTTAATACGGAGCTCAATAGAAAACAAATAAATAATTATCCAAGTCAAAGAAAAAAATCCTGTAAGGGAACTAAGCAAGGGGACACAAAGAGAGAAGCAATCTTTCACAAACTTCAATTTTAAACGTGTGAATTTCACCTCTCTCAGTGAAAGCTTGATCTCCTCTCTCCTGGATCCTGCTAAACAGCTCTCCTCCTTCCATGCTGAAACAAAGAGCACAAAAAAACCCACCTTACAAGAGCAGAAAAGACCAAGTTAACATCTGACTATGCATCCACAGAATCACACAGAACCACAGCAGGAACAGATTACAAAAGATTACATGCTGCCTCTGATGCCAATGCTTCCTGAACATCACACTCATTTGAATCAATGCACAAAGCCATTCTGATATGGAATAAACTGAAAACAAAACAGTAACAATAAACTGAAAACAAGACCAAGGAGTCCTGATGCTTTCAGTTTAATGTACCCAGTCCCAAGGAAGCTTGGAAGTCAGATATGCTGGCACTGGGAGGCTGTTTTTTTGTAAGGGTTGGAGAGAAAAGAAAAAGAAAGAAGGAAGCAAAGATAATTTGTCCCCAGTGAAGACAACAGTAACTGTGGTATTACAGGTCAAGTCAAAATAATAGCAGAAAGGAACATGTCAGATCACTGGATTTACACCCAAAATCGACAACAATCACAATCAAAGCTCATCATATTTGTAGAGACATATCTCTTAAGACTGTATTAATAAGTCAATGCTTTAATGAGGACAACTGACACGGACTACAAGGAAAACCTACTTTCAGTTAAGGTTTCTCACACAAGATGCTGAAGCAGCTCTACATTTCCCTACCAGTTCCATAAAGACAGCAAAAGGTTTGCTGTGCAAACCCAAATCCCACTGCTGAGAAAGCTCACCCAGCTGCCACCTAAGGCAACGTATTCCCCCATTCCCTCCAGGCCCTCAAAGGGCAATGCTTGGTGAAGGCTGCTGCTGGTGCATACCATTCCATGACAATGAGGAGGCATCTCTTTCCATGATGTATATTCTCATAAACATCCAGAACATGGACAATGTGGGGACACCCTGATGCTCGCCAATGATACTCGACTTCCTGACGGGCTTTTGGGTTGTCATACAGGAGCTGTAAAGAAATAGGAGACAAATGTCAGTCAGGCAGTATCATTCTGCTTTAAATTGGCACCTACAGGTATTTGAGCTCAAAGATGGGGGCAAAAGCTACTCTTAGCACTTTCTCCAGCCAAAGGATGACAATCCATCATAAGACTTTCATTATCTCTGGGCTGTCTGGCTTCCTAGATTGAGGAACACAGAAACAACTGGTCCCTTGGAACTGGAAGGACCTTGAGTGGCAGTAAGGAGAGATCTCGAATCTCAGATGAATATAGACCTATCTCTCCCACCCGTGGATGGGAAACCACAATGTTTTCCTATTTGTTTGCAGCACTTGCCAACAGAGAAGAATCCCTCTGCTAAGGACAATAACCCTCCCCCCTGCCCGGAAAAGAGACTTCTAGGTTCACTGCAGATCCCTTCAGCTCAGTGAGATTTAAAACAATGAGGACCTTCACACTGACTCTGAACATGCTTAAATACTACACAAATTTCTGACCCTATCAGAATCCCATCTGACCCTGACCCATCAGGGTCAGAAAGGGATCTTTACCTAGGTGCTTGAACACCTTTCTTGGTCACATGCAAGGCCAGGTTGTTTTAAAGGTGCTAATCTCTAGAGGGGAGGTAAGAGCTCATCCTTCCTGATTCTGCAACCTTGTCCACAGGAAATGCATACAAGGTTGTACACAAGAGGTCCTTGCCTATTTGAAGAACTGCTCTGCATCAGATCCTGCAACGGAGCTTTTGTGCTGAATCATGTCTTTTCTCATCTGCGTCATCTCTCGACACCACCAACTCTTTGTGACACCCTTTTCTGCACATTTGTATGGTTCCTACACAATACAGCTGTGATCCGAGTTTGGTACTTTATGCCCTATAGTAATGATAATTGTAATGATGGAGTAGCAACAAAACTGATGGTATATAAAGCATTGTTAAATGCACTGAAACAGAATAAAAAAGAAGCCAAGAACAATCAACTCTGATCTATTAGCCTTGGAAAAGGACTACACCAACTCTGGGGGACACACAATGACACTGTTTTCAAACAGACAACAAAAAGTATCATTGCTGCACTATTGGGCCTTGGCCTGAAGCTCTTCTCATTCATGCTTGCTATCAGGTCTCAGTCAAAACACAACTCCAGTGTAATTGCTGAAAACAAGTATTAACATGTAACCTGTCATTAGGGACCAATGAATCAGACTAGGACTGTTTTTCTACCCAATTGCCAAGCTAAGGCACAAATGGTGTCACAAGCACCTCTCAATATAGGGAAACTTAAAGGAAAGAAGTTGCAAATTCTGGTTTCTTTATTGACTCCAATATAATTTATGTCACCGGGGAAAAAAAACCCAACCCCAAACCAAACCACAGCCCTAAACTTACAGTGGTGCTTCAACATCCTTTTCAGCAACAGACACCATAACCAGGCAGGAAAGGCCCGTAACATGTTACAAAATGCTGGGGAAGCGCTTGGACAGAAGGCAAGAGGCTTCTCCCCTTTTTGAGGCTGGGAACAGGAAAAGGGTGACAAGTACTCCTCTGCTGAGTGCACTTTTGTGAAGCACAGAGAGGCTGCAGGAAGGCATGAGTGGCCTCAGGAGCAGTGAAGGGGCAGGGAGCCCCACCACCGTGACCGCCCTGCAGGCTCCCTCAGCTCTGCTCCAAAGGCTCCAGCATGACGCCAGATCTGCAGCAGTGCAAGGAGCTGAAGAAGCTTTCTTGCCAAGTTCAATGCCCTCGCAGCCAACCTACTTCTTCCACAGCTGTCATTCTGCACCCAAAGCACACCCTTTTGAGATCACTATCCGCCTCTTCCTTCCTGCTCCAGCCTGGCTGTGGCCTGATTTCCAACACAAATAACTTCCTAAAGAAAGAGATGGCTCCAATTTGGACAAAAAGCCCATTAGCAAGTCCAAGCCAGTTGCTTTACTTCTTTCAGCCATCAGCCCATTCAGCAGCTTTTCCTTCACAGCCACTGTGTTCTAGCTCAGTGGGACTGTCTATCAGCATTTTCCCCTCCGCCCTTCTGAGTTTGGGCTGTTGCCTAGAGGTCTCTTTTAAAAGTTCATTAAATTACATGTGCAACAATAAAGCCCAAACACTCTCAGGACTAACCAGGCCGTTTAGAAAAGCATTACAGGGTCTACTGCTTGGATGTTACTGGATTAATGCCACTTCTGAGCTTCAAAACTTTCTCACCTATCCTATGCTACTAACGAGACATAACCATCCTCTTTACAAACATTAACTGCACTATAAGCTGTGTATCCTGTGCTTCTACAGTGTGCAGAGGTGTTGTTTTTCATGTCTGCTCCAAACACTTACGAAAATTGCTGCACAGAATTGGATTCTCGCTTTCTAAAGAGCTTTTACAAGGCATTTCGCTACACACAAGGATGCTGCAGTTTCTTTTTTCCACCCCTAAAAGCAAGTTTCATGTACTCCTTAGTGCCAAGTTTGAATGTACTCATGTCAAGATGACACCTGGAGAAGCAGAGAAAAGGAAATGCAAAAATAAAGAGCAGATACTCATACCAAGCAACATCTGATATATCAACCAACTGTTAACCTTTGGATTTCTCCTTCTGAGCCTTAAAAATAAGTTAAATCTTTTCCTTATGTCTAAAACTGGAAGCCTTAACTATACCTTTTAAGACATCTTAAAGATGCAGACACCTGTAAAATGAAAGCCAGGCAGGTTGAAAACACCAATTCCGACAAAATTTAGGTGACGATTTAAAACCGCAGACTGAAAGTATGGCCCTGCAGTATTTAACACACTTGCAAAGAACATAAATGGACATTCTGCCACCTTCTTGAGCCTGAAGAGAGGCTGTGCTTCTACTGCTGCAATAGCTTTGAGCAGACTATGACCAAGTTGCCCTGACATTCTGCACAAGTGCGGAGGTAGCTCTGAACAGGTAAGTTCTGCAGCACTGTGGTTCATGCTGGTTTGTCACACTATCAGCTCCAGGAGTCCCCAGTCATCCCTCTAGAATTCCCACACAGTTTGGCTGAGTCACAGCTTGTCACGATGGGCTGTGGGCAGGATCATGAACTGACCTAACTTCAAAACAAGACAAACCCAAGAGACATGCCCCATTCTCGAAGCTTTTCAGGAAGCCACATCAGTGATCCCATGCACAGTGCATGGGATCTGCACAGCTGTGGACTCTGCATAGCAGCATGGGGATGCCTGTGTCTGTGGTCAGACAATATAGTCTGGAATAGGAACCACACACTAGAAAACTGTATTTTTGCTGGAGATCTGCATTACTGAACCTAAAAAAAGCAGATGAAGCAAGTATTAACAGCTACTTACAGAGAGAACACCAAAACCAGAGGCAATGAAAGGCAAGAAAATACAGGAGCTCTAACTCTTAGTGATTCACACAACTCGTCTTTAGTATCTGAAAAAGCTGGAGAGGGAAGAGAGCTAAGCCATAGGGTGTGCGCAGCCTGCTTCTGAGTATCAACGGTGCAGGCAGACTGCCCGGGATGGCCTGGGTAATTCAGGGCCTGGGCAGCGGAGGGAGGCCTCATCTCATTGTTCTGGGGTAAAGGCCTAGCTCGGGTTAGCAACCCCACGCAGAAATGAACTACCCAGCTGTGCGAAACCTCCCTCTGCACAATCTCAACAGAAAAAAAGAAAAGATAGGACTAAAAGAAGCAACACAGTACCTTCCAACTGCTTTTCCATGGATTCAGTATTGTGTAAGCAAAAAAGAATAGCAGGAACCCTCATACCTTTACGGTCTGATATACAGAAAATAGCCTTCTAAGGACTTCAGGGAGTGGCAAGTGATTTTCTGGACTCTGAAATTGTAGCAACAGAGAGAGAAGATATCCCTGGGCGCAGGTACGGAACAGGCTGAGGACAGGGAACAGTGACTTCTCTGCGACTTTAATATGCACTAGTGGGTTACACACATTATTATTACACCTGCTGTCTGTTCCCTACAGAGGGGATTAAGACCCCCACATATGCCTTTTATTGATTTTAAACTTCAGCAATTCCTCCTAGTTCCAAACAGTTGCCGTGCTTGAACTGGAACTGTTACAGCCTCAGCTCTCATCTATTGCACGTGCCACGTTAAAGCAGCACCTGACACTGCAAGCAGCTTTTACTTACTTGCACCAGTTCCAGAACCTGAACTCTCCCTTCAGCAAACAAGCAGTTTTATAATCTCTACACTATCTTCCTCCCAGGAAGGTTTCCCATTATTAAAACAGAAATGGGACAGCAGAAACTTTCATTCCTAGGGATACTCAGCATGTAACACTGATATATAGGCTCTTAAATGTAGCTTTATTTATTTTGCTAGCTGGAAAAAAAAAAAAAAAAGGTGTAAGTGGGTAAATGTCTGACTTTTGCTTTCTTTCCTCTTTGCATGTAGCTGTCACAAAAATGCTGAATCCTACAAATAAGCCTTGGAATCTAAATTCACACTGATGCACAGAAACTAACGTGGTTTGCTGCAGAGCAGCTCTTCCAGGCTTTCTTTATTCAAGAGGGGCTGATGGCAAAAGGAGGCTTGGATCATGTTTCTTTCCTCTTCTTTCTCCCCTATGCTACAAAAAGAAGAGGATTAGAGAAACAGAGCTATCACTATGGCTTTGAACATTTTGTCTTTTATCATATCTTGATTATTTGCACTACGTCCATTAATACAATGTTAACAATCTTTATGTGTTTCTAGATCTCTTCACAAGGGATAAAGCCATTCTTTGTGTTAGAACACTAAAGGGATTGAAATTATCAAGGTTTTCTTCTTCACGCACCAGCACTGCCAGTCAGTCAAGCTGCAGCAAGAAGCATGTGGTGCTTTGCAACAGCAGCCCAGCAGGCAGGGAAATCCACACATGCAAATCCCAAAGAAAGCACACAGTGAATTTTTAGTTTAACTAAAAAAGAAGACATTTCTGCTCAAATTAGCACTGAAGCATCAGTCAAGAAACAAGAGACAGGCACTTTGTGCAGGGCAGGCTCAGGAGGTGGAT